ATGCAACTAAAAGTGCAGAAACCTTGAAAAAATGGTGAGGACAGAGACATCTGCAGAGCTTCTCTTGGTTGTAGGTGCTGAGTTAACATTAACCTGTGGCCTCAGGCCCTCTCAGCTCCTAAGATACTTTCCACTTGGAATCCCCACTTCCAGACCTCTGTGACCCTAAAGAACTTTCAAGGAGCCTTGGGAATGGCCCCGACACTTTGGCTCCCAAAGCTGTTGGAACTAGGAGGAGAGCTTTCGATGACACAAAGATATCCTTCCTGATTGATCTTGATGTCTGCAGTTGAGTATACCTGTGATGTGCCAAGGGTACCAAGGCTGCAGGCAAGACAGCCTTCCCAGATTGACAGATCCTTTTGCCTGTGCTGCTGGGGTATCCATCCTCTTTTCCCCCATTCCTGTACACTTCTCACTGGGAAGACAGAGCTGGGCAGAGCTGCTGCAGGCAAGACTGCACGACCGCATTGCGGCTCTGGGCTATGTGAGACAAAGAGAGAGATTGCCACCTATTGACAGACACATCACCTGCAAAGAGTGCTCGTGTAGCTACGACTCCTCCATCTCTGCTCTTCAAAAGGCTCCAGAGATAGTTAGGCTCTTTGCATCTTGCATCCTATCAGTCCTGATCTCAGGACAGGGAAGAATGGGGCCATGACAGTCCACAGTGGCAGTGACAGCATCTTAGTGGGAAAACAAAAAATAAATCACCCAAGGTAGTGACAGCCTCTTCCTGTTGAAGGGCGTGAAGTGCATCTCATTTAATCATCACAGCCCTTTAAGGATCAGTGTTTCCATTTGCACCTGTGGAAAAGGGTTTCAAGAGAATGACTTGCTCATGAGGCTAACAAAGAAGAGAATTGGGTTTGAGGAACTGAGAAGTACCTACTTTACTCGGTACTTTCTCCCTTCCCTTGTTATTATGTAATCCACATTCCCATTATAATTTCCTGAACCTAAGTCATGTAGATATAAAAATAAATAAAAAATAAAGGAATCATTTCCTTTTGATTGAGGGAGGATCCATCCCTCTCACTTTCTTGTTCCTGGGCCTCTGAGTTCAGCTCCCTCACCTGCAAAATGGGGACAGTTATGACACTGAAGTTAGGAAGTTACTGCAGAGCTTAAATAACATCTTATGTAGTAGATTGCTTAGCAGGATGCCAGGTGTTTTTACAAATGGGAGCTGAGTTATCTGTAGCCTAAAGGTCTGGTTTGAATTCAGGCTCCTCTTGTTTTTAAAAACCTTCCACAAGTTCTTTGACCTTTCAGAGCCTCGATAACTTCATTTGTAAAATGGAGCTAAATAATAATAGACATGCTCTTACAGGGTTGGCTACACAGTAAAATGAAATCATGTGTATGAAAACACTTTGCAGATTTTAACCATATTCTTCAAGTATTAGTTGTTACAGTTTAAGAAAAAAGGGCTGGAGAGATGGCTCAGAAGTTAAGAACACTGAATATTCTTAAAGAAGACCCAGGTTCAAATCCCAGCACCCACATGGCAGCTAATAACTGTCTGTAACTCCAGTTCCAGGGCTTCTGACAGTGCACAATGGGTGCACTTACTTATATATGGGCATAACACTCAAACACACAAAATAAAAATATTAAAAATAAAATATATTTTTTTTTAAATGAAAAGGTATGTGGGTCTGGGGAGATAACTCAGAGGCTAAGAGCACTGGCTGTTCTTCCAAAGGACCCAGGTTCAGTTTCCAGCACCTACATGGCAGCTAACACCCATCAGAAAGTCCAGTCCAGGGAATCCGATGCCCTCTTCTGGCTTCAATGGACACTGCACACTCATAATACAGTTATATACGTGCAGGCAAAACACTCATACACATAAAATAAAAATAAGAAAATGAAACATTCTTTTGAAAAAAAAGAGAAGAAAGTATGCTTATCCAAATAGATTTTTGAGAACTATTTTGGAAAATGACTTGTGTGAATTCAGCCTC